TGCCTTGTTACTAGCCTGTGCACTCCTTGGCAGAGCCGTTGTCGAGTTTTACTGTCTGAACGACGCTGACCTCTGCACTCACTGCAAGCATCGTACGATCGAATAACTGACATTCAACAGGGGAGTCACGTGGTTCGTGGGGAATAAAGCTGAATAGGCAGTCCGTCAAAATGTTTTGTTAGCTTATAAACTAAGCGCTTTTGGAGCTAAATTTACTTAAATCTAAATTAAAGAACTAAATTTAAGCTGCTCTTGTCACACCCAGTCTCCGAGGACATAGAGATGAGCACTATTATGCGTCCCCTTTTCTACGTCAGTAAACATGCACACGCGTGGTTGACAGACACTAGGTGAGCTATTTTTGGAGTATAATTATCTTCAGATAAATCTGGTGCTCTCTCATGCGCGAATTCGTACTCCATGTTTTTTTTTAATGAACTGCAACCACACCCACCACTTCTTCAGTAGACACACAGCTATCTACTATCCCCACCTACCTGGCCCTTCTGAGCTATCCCCAAAGAAGCTGTAGCGTCGTGTCTCTCGGAGCTACCCGTTGATAGCTCTGCCATCGTGACAGACTTCCAGCGCCTTCACCAGAGAGCCTTTGCCGAAGCAAAACTAAGCTACCATCCCACGGTCCTTTTGGGTGGCTATCCATCTCCGACTGCTGCCTCGGAACAGCAACTCCTGAGGGCCACTCGTTGTACTTTGGCTCAAATACGCAGTAACAGCACCGGCTCGACCCATCCACATCCTACAGCTGTCCCGATTGCGGCGTCTCTCAGAATCTTTTCGCCTGCAGTTCCCGGCCAGGCACCCAACTCACCCCTGGGGACCTTTGGCTCAAACCGGTCGAGGTCGCGGCTTTCTCCGTCTTCCAAATGCAACCAGTTTGGATTCCGGTGGAGACCCTTGGTCCAACAAGGTCTACGACACACGCCTGACCCTAATTGTAAAATGCTAGCCAAAATTCTAAACGGTTCCTTTTTTAGCGATCAGAAAGGACAAAGTAGATGAGATTCTAATAGGATTGATCGTGCACCTTAATTCCAAGATATTTCAGCAAGGTTACGATGCCAGGTTGTTAAATGAACTTTGGGCGGATCGCGGATCGTTCGAAACCGAATACTTAAGTAACTAAATTTATCCGCTTTACTTTTCGATGCCCTTATGAATTCGAATATATATGTTATAGGAACCATGCACAAACATGTTCTTTCGTACACTCTTTGAAGGGTATCGTTCGGTTCAGTAAGCACCTGCACTTATGAGATTGTAGGCAGAAAAACCTTACCGGCAAAGACAACGGAGACTGGAACGGCCAGTTCTGGCTCACGAGCCGTCGTCAGCAAGTCCTACACAGCCCCAAGAGATGCACCACCTGAGGCTCAAACTCACGACCTAGTCGATCGGAAGCCTCCTACATTTTATAAACAACTTATAAGAGATTTCCGTTTTTTATCCATTATATGACAAATCATGCCTTCCTCAGACTTTACACTCGAAGAAAGAGTCTCGTTCAATTGTAAAACTTAACAATATCCATTCACATAAAAGAGCATCCTTCAGTTTACTAATGCATTGTCAAATCTTTTGAGTACCAGGTGGCGTCTTCTTAACGACAGAGAAGTTATACCTTACGAGAACAGCAGACAAGTTGTAGACTGAAAAGTCTAAACTCAAAGACAACGGCAGACGAGAATTAAAATTATTCGGGGAAAATAAAACTTTAAAAAAACACGAAATGCACTCGTTTTTGTGTATAATATTTTAAG